TTTACTATTAGTATAACATTGGTGTATCAGTGTTTACTATTAGTATTACACAGGTGTATCAGTGTTTACTATTAGTATTACATTGGTGTATCAGTGTTTACTATTAGTATTACAGTGGTGTATCAGTGTTTACTATTAGTATTACATTGGTGTATCAGTGTTTACTATTAGTATTACACAGGTGTATCAGTGTTTACTATTAGTATTACACATGTGTATCAGTGTTTACTATTAGTATTACATTAGTGTTTACTATTAGTATTACATTGGTGTATCAGTGTTTATCATTAGTATTACATTAGTGTATCAGTGTTTATCATTAGTATTACATTAGTGTATCAGTGTTTACTATTAGTATTACATTGGTGTATCAGTGTTTACTATTAGTATTACATTGGTGTATCAGTGTTTACTATTAGTATTACATTAGTGTATCAGTGTTTACTATTAGTATTACATTAGTGTATCGGTGTATCATAACTTTCTTTCCTAAATTTGTCTGCACTTTTTTCTTACTGTAAAGGGATTAATTATTCACTGGGTTTTAATTTAGCTTATTTCGCTGACTGGAAAATGCGCAAAATTAAAACCCAGTGAATATGTACAATTTTGCATAGAACACATTATCTAAATGATAAAATCGTGAATTTAAAACCCACTGAATATGCCTGAAATGGTAAATCAGTGAAATTTAAACCCAGTGAAAATTAGTCATTTTACAGTATATTCTTCAATATTTCTGGAAATGAACCTTAATTTTGGAGCCAACAGACAAATTTGAGTCAATTTTCATTTTTTACTCATAAAATTTTGCAATTTTTGTCCCAATCTTCTGAAGGAAAGTGCAGACTATAAACAGGACTATTTTGTGAATTTGTGATGAAAAGTGGGTACTGGTGGTGAAAAGGTTAATTGTGCCATTCTATGACACTCAAAGATCAAATAGAGTCGACAAATATATGCAGGAATTGACATTTAAACTCATTTGTCTGAAATTAGTAGGTAAAGGTTAGAGTTACTTTTCAGTTGTCTCAGTAACAATGTTACGTGTCCTAGGCTATACAACTACACTGCTACAATGTACTCCACAGTTTCAGAGTTTAAGTGGGGGAATCACCATCACCTGTGCATACGTAAGATGGCTATAACATGTCATTGTTTACAAACAAGTGTCTACCCATGAGCCTTAGTGTGTTGTTATCATCGCTTGGGACTCAATTCTCAATGTGTTTTAGTGTAAAAATAACGGCTTAAACTCTCAGAGAATTGTACTTCGGGATAGTTGTTGAATCTCTCCTGAACAAAGTTACCCTTACATGTACAACATAAATAAATTGGCTTTATCAGGATTACTTCAAAGTTGAGTTTGTGCAGTTTGCTAGATTTAAATACAAATAAATTGAATATAGTAATATTAATTTATATTAAAAAAAAAAATATTCAAACTATTGCTACTTGAATATAAATATTCAAAAAATTGCTGCTTTACAAACAGAAATCCTGACATTTTTGAAAAATAGACATAAATTATGCAAATATTTTTACATGTCTTATTTCTTAGCTATATTTGTTCAAAACAGAAAAAAAAAATTGTAAGAAATGTTGTAGATAGAAAAGAGTGGTTTTTTATCCCATGTTGTGTACCGGGTATCTTATGATTTTTATTCACTTTTTTTTTTAGTTTACAATGAAATTGATGATGTATTGTACTGTCACCATGACATCATACTTCCTGCATTTCCACTGGCGTTAGAATGGTTG